AAGCTGGTATGTGTTTGTGATGTGACCCCCTCTCTCTCTCTCTCTCTCTCTCTCTCTCGCTCGCTCGCGCACACACACACGATGCACAAAAATCCGCATTTGAACAGTCAATAGCAATAACAAAACAGTAGCTGATTCAGAAGCGCCAGATTGTCATAGCAAAATCAGAATTACCTCCTCTCCTAGGTTCACGAAATGGTCGTCCATAAAATGCATTGCTGTTCTGTTGTAAGTAATCTTAAAGATTCCTAAATGCATCTACTTCCGGAAGGCCAAATAAAGTGCTTTTGCTTTCACCTAGAAACACACAGCGTCTCCCTGACATGGCTGCTTCAACACTAACTGCGGTTACTGAAACCACGCCTTCTTTCTTTGCGTGAACATTTGGGCGGCATTATGCTAATATTTCCACACAGTGAGGTAGATATGTGGGGGCGTGTTAGAACGAGCCGTTTTAGGGGGGCGTGGCAGAGTCTTAACTTTGATAAAGAATATCTCTTTGGTTTTGAGACTTTAGTCTTTGCAACTTCAGGGATCTTATCTATGCACAATCAGCTTGTAACACTCCAAAGAGAAAGGAAAACTTGAAATCGCATCATATGACCCCTTTAATGCTAAAAAAGAGAAGCGACTTATTAAACCAGCAGTTTAAAGCCTGACATCGTGCTCTATATAGAACTAGAGTACTAGGCCCTTTCAGGCTCTCATTAATTATGCAAAACGACACAGAGGGAGCTAGGGAGCTGGGGAGGGGGGCGATGAGAAATCTTACCTCGTGTCAAAAAGTGGGTCTGTGTACATAGGTAGAAAACAAACCGTGTCTTGTTCATTGGACAGCGCGTTCTCTTGGCTGTGCGTTGGTTTAGTTTGTCCTTGCTTCTTGTTTCCTCCAGCTGAGCCATCTGTGAAGGAGAAACACAGAGAAACGGCTACTTTTAGGAGACAAAAATCTTTCAGACACCTTTGAAAAGTTTACTTTGACTTTAGTATCTGAATAGTAATGTAATGATGATTCATTTGGCACTCTGAAATGAGTCATTTGAAGTGTTTTGGAATGATTCAGTCAGAAAGAAAGGACGCGTTTCGGATAAATGTCTTTTATCTGCAAATGGCTACTCCTATCAAACAAAATAGTTAAATCAAAAATACATTAAAAATACAGTTCAGTAATAAACATCTGCCAAATCAAAGGATAATCCAATCTTTTGAAGAAGATTGTATTGCACACACAAACACATACAAACCCAGATATCACACGTACGTCTGCAAGATGTCTGTTAAAGATTTCTTCATCTGGAAAGCATTTGCTGTGTACAAACATCTGATAGACGTCTCTAAGATGTCAGTTTTACATTATAAATCATAAACATCTTAAAGACATCTTGTCTATTTGACATCTGATAGGAAACGTCCTATAGATGTATTGCAGATGAGCAAACACTAAAAAATACGTCTTGCAGATGTAAATGCAGACGTTAAATAGACGTCTCTGTGATGAACGTGTGCTATCAGGGAAGTATGAAAATCTCACTAGTTCGTTGTTTACATTTAGCATAGGCAACAATCAAACTTTTTGAACATACATTTACTAAAGAACTAGTAATACATAATATAGTTTGCTAATGTTATTAATGAAAGTCATAATTAAATGTTAGCAAGTGTCTTTAGCTAATGTAAATGCTGTGTGTTGTGTTTAGGTGAATGAATGTCTGTTTCATTCAAGTAAAATGTTTACCAGTAATAAAAGGTAAGTAAACAAAATAATTAATTTTGTGGACAAAAAAAAGTTACTTTTTTCGTCACTAATTGAGGGGTCATATGATGTTGCTAAAAAGAACATTATTTTGTGTAAAAATGTGTGTGTAAAAATTTTGTGAAATGTGTTTATGCGGTTTAAGGTTCAAAAAACACATTATTTTCCACGTACTGTACATTATTGTTTCTCCTCTATGCCCCACCTTTCTGAAATGCGTCGATTTTTACAAAGCTCATCGGTCTGAAAAGTGAGGTGTGCTCTGATTGGC